CGATAAAATTCTGATCATTATATGCATGACGAACACATTTCTTTTGCTATGTCGATGAATGCTTTCGGCAATAGTGGAACGGTTTGTAAAAGAATTATTTCTCAAAATCATGATTTGTTTCTTATAATCGGCAGTTCTATTTTTTCCGTATTTGTAAATTTCTTCATTCAATGTTAAATATATAAACCAGTAACCATCAACTTTCTTTGACATAATCCATCAAATGATATCATATCAAAATAAAAAAAAGAAAATAATCGATGATAGTCAAAAGTTATTCTTCGAGATAATATAAAATAGCAACAAGATAATGTAGCACAAAAAAAATATATATATATGATGCTCGAAAAAAAACAAGTTCAAGCAAACATACTCGAGCTCTACGATTATATCGTACGTCTCTATTCGTCTGTAAACTTATATATGAACGAGTGTAAGTGGAAACGTCACTTAACATCATCCTGCCTTGTTCTCTGACTAGTACTTTAAAGACGGCAAATTGATTTTACTATCATTGATCTATATATTAATGCATTTTGCAATGCCATTTATGAATATAATAAGTATCAAATTCAATTTTTATATGATCAAATAAATACGCATAATATTGATAAAATAGTTATGATTATAGAAGTGATATTCAAAAAGAAAAAGAAAATGCAAAAGTATTAAAATGTAACTTCTCAAGATAAATTAATGTATATTTATAAAATAGATTTATCAATATTAAGTTGTGATAACTAATTAAAATTATCGCCTTTTGATATGCTTGTCACTTCAAGCTTTGATTCTTCGTCTCATATCTTTTTCTACTCTCGGTATCTTCTTTTCTCTCCTGTTTTTCTCTTTATCTTTGCTGACTTTCCTTCTTTTATTTTCATCATTTCTCTTTTGCCTTCTTTTAATCAGTGTTGAAGCTTTGTTAGTCTAGTAAGAGGCGAAAACTAGTAGAAAGAAAAAAAGACAAGATCTATTCACTAGAACGAACAAAGACAAGAATCAACAATCAAAACTAATCGTATGCTTGCATGAGTAAGTATTATCTGAAACTTTTTTTCTTTTACTAATTTAACATTTTATGGTAATAAGACAAAGTTAAGTGCATTGTGTTTTAGAAGAATTAAATATAATACAAATTGAAAATGTCATGCAAAATATTTTCAAATAAATATATTTATTTCAATTAGATTGATTAGTTTTTTCTTCTTCTATATAACAATTATTTGTTTTGTCTTTGTTTGGTTTTGTAAGCCAACCTTGATCATGAAATAAACGGTCCACTTATATCATTATTAAAAAAAACATCGGAAAAGTATCAATTCCGACTTTTAATATTGAAAGTAATAATCTGACATAAGAAAAATTTGTGTGAGATAGATGATAAAGAATAATCATGAAAGTATCTTTTAAAAAATTCCTTCGTTTTTTTAATTAATTCTACTGGGATATTAAGGCGCATCATAACTAAAATCTTGTTTTTTACTAATATAAGCGTGGAAAATCCAAGATTGAATGGAAATAGAAAATCCGATTCACCTAAACCAATCAAGACTTATTCAAGATGCATGCATCTATAAATATGAAATAAGCAAAGCCGAATTAAATATATTCATATAGTTAATGAAGTCAGGGTTTTAAGCTTGTAAATCTAGACACATTTATTAAAACTTAATCCGGAAAAGATGAAAATAAATAGTTAAGAATTAGTGATTAGATATTCAGACTTGTCACCTTTATTGTAACACCCACTGAGTAATATTCGACTTTCAGTCATGCGTGATTTCAGTGTTAACACGACATTCATTGTAAAATAATTTTATAAAAACGTTCAATCGTCTTCTCTTCATCTTTTGTATTCTTTATAATTATTTTTCTTAATTCTTCTAATTATGAATTTTTCTTTTTCCACTATGCTACACCTTTTATTTGCTTACATTTGATTTTATTGAAAGATAAAACTCCATAGTAGATATTCGAATCTTTGTCTTTTGTATGTCCTTATCAATGAACTAGCAAACATGTTAATTAGAAAAAGAATATATTAGATTCGCACAATCTCTAAATAAGATGAACTCTGCGTGATTTCCATATGGAATAAAAGAAAAAAAAATAATAAATCTTCATTTTATTAATATTTGATGTTATTTTATTTTTCTTTAGAATTATGATTTAATAAAATATAATGAATAACACAACAATAGACAGTTTGGAATTTCATCATGATGTTATAAATCAACATCAACCAATGTCATTTGTATTAGATTTACGATTTTTTCTTGTTCGAATATTTTATCCATCTTTACTTATATGGGGTACTATTGGTAATACATTATGTTTACGTGTTTTATTAAGTAAAAAATTTTGTAAAAATTCAACATGTCAATATTTAGCTGTATTAGCTGTTATTGATATTTTATTTATTGTAATGCGGTCAAGTAAACATGTTTATAGATTATTTCGTGATACAACAATATTTAATACATCAAAATGGATATGTCGTATATTAACATTTTTTTCATCAGCACTTGCACACATGGGTTCATGGATATTGGTTATTGTGAGTTTTGATCGATATTTTATAGTAACTAGTCGTTATCGACGACATAGTTCAGCATTTAATCGGGTTTTATGTTCAACAAGTATACTGGTTGCTATTGTTGTATTATGCAATATTTATTATTTCTTTATACTTGGTAAGAAAATCACTCTAGTTTTTTACTACAAGAGATAGACAAAGCTTTTTTTGCTAACAATATTCATTATAAAATTCATATTCATCATGCTAGTTTAGAGTGTCTTATTCGCCTGATAAAAAAGTTATTGACGCTTGTTGTTTTTTTGCTATTTGAAAAAATTCAGAACACGCAGTAATTGAGGACAAGTGAATACTCTAAGGAATAAAGTCGTATGTTTCGATTTTCTGTATAATTTTACGTGCATATTAATACTATCATAAACTTGCGAAAAGCTATTTTGTACTCGAACATCATCTATCAAGCAACTCTTGTAATAGTTATTATTGCTATACAATGAGATGTTAATCAAGATCAAATTTCTATCGGTAAAAAGATAGCTTGAAAATTGAATATATTATTAAAATATTTTAGCACTGTATATAATAATTAATAATGTATTTATTATTTGTACTTAAGTTTAAGGTTATTTTACTTAAAATTAATTTATATAAAAAAATTTTCTTTGTAAATTCTCATAATTTATATTATATTAATAGTAATTAAAGAAAAAACATCCGATGTATGTGTTAAAGAATTGCCGAAAGCATTTATTCATGTGGAAAAAAAAATGTGTTACCATATGTCATATGAGATAAGTACATTGAAGTGGAAGTTTGATAGAACTAATGCACAAGTCTCATCGATTATTACTAGACATGACAAATAAGCAATTAAGCTGCTATTAGTAATAAAGAAAAAACATAGAAAACAACATAATATAATTTAATGTTCATGTTTTTCATTTACTAACTTTAATATTCTATGTCAAATCTCATATAAAATAATTGATTGAAAAGTTATTTGTTTTCAATTTTTAAATAAAAAGAAAATACATATGAATGATGATTAATAGAATATGATCAATGATTGAACTTCCTTAGTATTCAGATTCTTTTGATTGAATGAACTTAAATTATGAATATAAGAAATAAAATGATTGAGTAAATTATAGTAAATAGAAGTGTCAATAAGTTGTATAAACTACAGTAGTAATCGTCTTTTTTTTTCAATAGATTTCATTTGATTTAGAATTCAGAATATCTTGACTGATTGTTTACAAATAAAGAAAATGAATAAAACAAATCATTTTATCTCATATACATTGAAAATATTCGAATATTTAATTTGAAACAAAAAAAAAAGTTTTTTTTTTTTTTTTCTTTTTAAGGTCGATCATTTGTATTAGGAAAACCTGGTATGCATGATCATCGACGTCTCTTATTTCGATTATTATTTCAATCAAATGAAACATCACATAATATAAATCATACAATTTATCCTTCAACAGATTTACTTCGTTATAAACCTACATCTATATTTGTATGTATACCAGCTCCTCAATATGAACGTTTTTTTCGTACATATATACCAATATTTGATGTATTACTTGTTGCTGCTATTCCACTTATACTTCTTTGTTGTACCAATATTGGTATAATAACATTTACAATGCGTAACAATCGTCAAATGCGTCAACATCGTAAACGTTCACATCGTCGACATCAACGTTTAACAATAATGCTTTTATCAGTTACATTAGCATTTATTGGTTTAACATGTCCATCAGTTATATTTATATGTGTTAATAAAATAATTTATTCTGGACGTATTTTAAATGATAGTAAAGATAATTCAAATTCAGAAAAAAATGTTCGTCAACCAACACATATGCAATCACTTGTTGATATATGTGAAGCATTATGGTATACAAAACATTCAATGAATTTTATTTTATATACATTAAATGGACAAGATTTTCGTCGTGAATTTTTAAAATTATTTACTCATTGTTTTAATCGTCGATCATATTTAGTTAGAAAATTATTAAGTAAAACTCGTCCAAGAACATCATTAAATGAATCAAATATTGAAACACAATTACGTAGTACAAATATACATAATAAAATATTTCATCGAAAAAATTCCGATCATTTAGCAGTAACTGATGTTAATGAAGCATCAAGTGCAATATTTACTAATTCAAATTCAATGCAATTTAAATCTTCATATGATGATAAACAAATATAATATTAATTCTACGAATGGATTCATTTTTTGTTTTATTTCCTTATAACCTGAGTATTATAAGCATTTTATATAAATGGAATTTAGAAATAACCAAATATCACAGAACAAAAACAAAAAAACAGAACATGCAAAGAACTAATATTACTAAACAAAAAAAAATTGCACAATATTTTAGAACTATTCATTAAAAAAAAAACACAAGAGAAAATGTTGAATTGATAAATGAAAAATAAAATATTAAACAATTTCTTCGTGTTGTTGTTGTTGTTCTTCTTCTTCTTCTTCTTGTAAACGTTCGGGTTCAACACATGATAAAGCAATATGAAAGAAAGCTGCAATTATGATCATTGCACCACCAACAACAAATGCTAAATCATATTTTTTAGTGCGATCTTTAAGAAAACCTATTTATGAAATAAATAAACATGTATATTATAAAAGAATTTTATTTTTGCTTTGTTTTTAATTTTAACCTGCTGCAGGTGGTCCAATTATTGATGTAAAACCTCGAAAAAGAAATAGAATACCAAAAGCTGTTGTATATCGATCAAGACCAACACAATCACATACTATACTTGGTAAAAGTGACATATGAGGTGCTAAAAAAAAAAAAAGAAAATTGTTAAAAATTATTTATATTGATTTGACATATATTTTAATACCAATGGCAAAACCACATAAACCAGCATAGATTGCACAAGTTGTAAAATTATATGCATAAGCAGCTAAAACAGTTAAAACACCTGCTGTATATAAAAGTACATTATGAACACGTAATGCACTCAAATGAGGAATCATAGTAATGAGTCCTCCAGAAAATCGTCCTAATGTATTGAAAAAACCTACAATAAAGAATATTTTATCATTTAATTATTTGTACATATGTAATTTTTTTAATGTTTACCAAATACTGTTAATAAAAATGAAGCTCGTGTTTGATCAACTTTAAGATCTTCAATTGCAAATGAAACAAGACACATTATTGGTAAATAATATCCAAGCATAGAAAATATATTTCCAATACAAATTAATAACATTTGTTTATTTCTTAATATTGAAAAATCAGTCATTGCTGAAAGAATATCAGCAAATGCTTGTGTTGCTGATTGTTTTTTTTTTATTTCATTTGTTGCTGCAGGAATATTTGTCACTGATGATATATATGGATTACTATGTAATGATGCATGTGATGTATGAAGTTGTTGTTTTGATCCAGTAAATAATGCATCTTTTTTATATAATGGTCGACCTGCATTCTCTGGATTAAGAACACCAAAACGATGGCTAGCACTAATATTCGATGATGCTCGACTCGATGTTGATATTGTACGAGCACGAGCATACGAAGATGGTACACCTAATTTTAAAGCACCAGAAACATCAAAATTAGGTACACCAGTTGAACTATTCCTATGTGTTGCACTATCATGGACTGACATAAATGGCTACAAAAATGAAAACTTTATTATTATGAATATTCTATGGATAAATCAATATTTCTATATACCAGATTCGAACCACTTGAAGTTGCTTCATATGCCGATGATGGTGTTAAACGATCAGGTTTGATTTTTATTAAATTTCTATATTAAAAAAAAAATTAAAGAATAACAGATAAAATGCTTTAGCCCTTACTGTAACTGTGTTTCACTTCGTTCAATAGGTACTCTTTGTGGTTTCAATGGTTTCATTATGGCTCCAAATAGAATACATGTTAACATTATACCAGCAAATATCAGTAGACCACGTTCCCAACCTAATTTTCCCATTAAATAATTAGCTAATGGACCAAATGATAAAGCACCAATACCAGTACCAGCTGTTACTAATCCTATAAAAAAAATAATACATAATTAATAATACATCATTGAATAATAGACATTATACCATTGGCAATAGCTCGTTTTTTATCAAAATAAAATGACACCATTACAACTGATCTAAATGTATCAAAGAAATGTTTCGTAGATATTTTCTATAGAAATAAATAATTCTACGAACGGAAGATAAACCATGCCAAAAAATATACCACCAAATATCCCATAAATAATTATCATCGCATAAACATTTGGTGATAGAGTTGATAAACTCATACAAGCTGCTGCACCAATACTTCCAATAATAATAATTGGTCGACAACCATATCTATTAGCTAGACCTGATACTATTGGACCTTTTAAAGAAAATATCATCAGATATATATATATGTATATATTTATTTATTTATTATAAATCAAACATACCAACTAATAAATAAACACCACAAGGAACAGATCCAACCATAAGAATAAGCATATCACTACATTGGAAATGTTTTTGCAGATGATTTTTCATAGTACCAAAAGCAAATAATGTACCATCACAAACAAGATTACAAAACTAAATTGATAAATAAAATAAACTTAATATTAATAATAAATATAATAATACCATTGCAGCGAAAGCAATAATCCAACCGTAACCTCCATCAGGTGGTATTGTAACATATTCATATTCTTCATCAATAATTTGTTTGTTTTCTTCAAAATTTTTCTCTTTGAATGTATCTTTAGTTGGCATATTGTTTCTTTTAAAAAAAGAATTAATAAATACTATTATCGCACACCTAAAAAACTAAATAAATCAAAATTATATTCGAATAATTCGTAACCTATTCATTCAATCGACAGTGAATAATGAGATTAGAAAATTTAGACATTTGTTTATCATTGATTCTCTTGTGCAATAAGCGCCGAAATTCTGTTTATAAGACAAGATAAGCATGATTAGTTGTCAGTAAGAATGCGAAAAAAAAAACACAACAAATGTATGAAACATTTTGATACCATTCTTTTCGTTGATATTCACTTTTTATCATAGGACCATGTATTACAGTAATAAGAAAAAATGCATATGTTTTTTTTTTGTCCTATACGATATTTATTGAGATAAAAAAAAAATACCAAAACAAAATTACATGCGTTAATAAATTCTATATAAAAACAAAGTTGATTATCTATAATCAGATTTGATTCTTTTTTAATTGATATTTATTCATCAGAAACTACATAAATGAACGAAAAAAAAGAATATTTTCGCTTATCAGAATCTAAACTTCTTATGTTAATACTAATTCTGACTGGTCGTTATCAACACATTTATATTATTATTTTTATAATATTCAACATAAAACACAACTAGTCGCGTGCTATCATCAGTCACACTATGAAAATTTTGATTATATGTATGAAGAATACCGAGAACAGTGTGGTATTCTTTTTTTTTTACACTTGTTAACCAGGGACTGTTATCGATGGAACAAAAATAAAACAATTCGAATGAATGCTTGGAAGATAAAACAACGAGTAAGGGCATATTTATGAAATATCTACCACAAACATTTCAGAATGTTTTCACTGAGATTATCTTGTGTTTAACATTCTATCTGACAGTTTTTATCTTAATATCATACTTTATATCTTCTTCTTACGTACACATAAACGCGTAAATCATTCACAAAGCTATACAAAACATAAATCTATGTTGTTGCTTTTTTTTTTTAATATTACACATCATATTTGTAAACAATAATATTCTAAAAATATAAAGAGAAAATCAAAAATTCAATATACACAGTGATGCAATAACAATCATTCAATACAGAAAGCACTGAGTGACGTGCAAAAGTCACCTGACAATTTTTTTTTATTGCTTATCACTTTTGATATGAATAAAAAAGAGAGGCACACCTTTTTTGCCGCTTAAAAGAAGCTGTGTTACTTCATGATTTTATGCATGAGTGGACAATATCGGTTATTTGAACAAGTTTTGAAAAAAATGATTTCTAGAAAAAAAGAAAACAAGGCTCCATATATGAAATAGTTTACGAGCGCTTGTAAAAGACATTCATTATAATGAATCTTTTCCAAAAGAAAATCAGAATAAATGCTTGAAATAAAATATGTTTCGAGCACTTTTTTATGCATTTTGATAGAAAAACATATGACATCTTAGTTTTTATGGCCAAAAATTGGGTTCAACAAAGAGATTTTTCAAAACTTTTCGATCCAGTACCGGTTTGTTAAACCAGTTCCAGATCTGAGATGGTTTTTAGTTTTGAACGTTTTTGGAAATCTGGTTTTTCTTTTTTTTTTTTTTATAAGAAAAATGCATAATGATTTGGATTTCAATTCGAGAATTTCGGGATCGATGGGCTCTATTTGTCTGAAAAATGTCTAGAGTGCAGTAGTCTCCATATACAAAAGAAAAACTAAAAATTTCATTGAGAGTATCAAAGTACGACTCGGTCGACTTTGAGTCCGAAACTTTTTGGATCTGACTAGCTGTAGCTCAGAGCTAAAATCGCATTGTTGACTTACAGAATCCTATAAATCGGAATAGGAAAGTTAAAGACGAAAATAAACTGTAAGCAATCGGGATTGAACAAACTGATACTTTGCGTTACAGCAAGTAAAAGGCTGAATGATCTTTCGAATTACATTTGAGGCTATCATACCTTATGTACAGCTTGAAACCGAGTTATTTTGTCAAAATACATGGAGTAGATGTCCTTACACGAATGACCAAAATATACCGAGTTTGTGTATGGATCTAGTGCACGTCTTAGAATCAAACTTCTTTATCATCTTCATCGAACTGTAGATATTTTTCTAAAACCCACTGAAAAACAAATGAGTGGAAAACCGATTTCGTTCGAATATACATGGTAACATGTAATAGAACATCTTCTATCGAACGACAAAAGGTGCAACTTTCTATATTGTTTATATTAAACACTGCCAGGTGAGTTTAGCTCTACCTTGCACAATGTTATTATCAAATCATAGATATCTTTTTTTTTTCTAATTTAGATTAAATAAATAGTGTATCGAATTTCTGATAGAGTCTAAAATCGAATAAGATGCTAATCTGAATACACAATTTCATGTCTTTTCATCAATCCATGGAATATATATTCTTTCATTAAAGCACGTCTTTTCTTTTTGCTTCATGTCACGATTTCTCCTTGAAAATAAGATTCTTGACATTTCTCATATTTTATCTAACATATTTTTTCGTAAATATCATATTTGATAGTAGAAGATAAATTATAAATTAAAAATAAGATTTTGATTAAATAAAGTTGTATTTTAACTTTTATTTTGATTAAAAATATCAAAATTCAAAAGATTTTTTTTTTAAATTTATTTGATAAAATCAATATTCAAAATCTACCAGGGTATTTTTATTTTAAATTAACAGTTATTATCGATTATATAAGTAACAAATCATCAATTACATCATCGTCATTAACTTTTTTATGTTTTTTTGATACCATTGTTTTCTTATTTTGATTTGTTGCTAATTGTAAATCAATACTAGTAGTTAATGGAATCGCTTCGGAGGTTGCCATTTCATGATCTTGTACTAAAAAAAAAAGAACAAGTCAAATCAAAGAATCAGCAAAAACAAAACATAATAGTGTACTTTTAGGCATTAGAAATGTCGAAGTAAGAGTATCAATAGTCGTTATTTTATTTTCTTCGGATGCTTCAACATATTCTTTATTATTTATTGTTACAGATGATTGAATGGTTGATTGTCGATTAGACATTGTTACTTGAATAGTTGGAAAAGTCGATTGTTCGTCAACTATTGTATTCAATGATTGATAAGATTTCATCGATTGTGTATTTGTTGATATATATTGATTTTCTTGTTTTGTTTTCACTATTGATGGTATATGAATTTCTTGATTATTATTAATCGGTATAATAGTTATTTTTTTCAATTCTTGTTCATTGGATATTTCAGTTAAATCTATTATAATAGAAAATTCATGAAGAATAAAGAAAATTTGTATACACACTTTCTTGATGAAATGTTAAAGTACGAGTTAGATTTGATAATGTTGATACATTTGCTTCAGAAGATTGCATAATAAGATATATAAACGATTTGCTAGAATCTAAATACATATTTTAAAAGTATTTTTCTTTTTAGTAATTGTTCTTTAAACTTACATCCAAGAATCAATGCTAATGCAACGATACCAATCGCAATAAATCCCAAAAGAAATACGAATATAAGAATTTTACATATATTTGAGAATCGTTTTTGTCGAGCTTTCTATACAATATTAAATGAATTATATATTTGTTAATAGTGCTTTTTTATTGAAATTTTTTCTTTTCAAGGAATAGAGACAGCAAACATCTATACTGGAATATTCACATCCATAGTATGTGATATTATGATCACAAACTTTTGGAAGAGCGTTGCTTTTCCTTGATCTTCATATTAGATAAACTATTTTTTTTTGTTAATAAATAGTATTCAAACTTTACCTTTATAGACACATCATCATCATTACATGGAATAATATCTCGTAAAGCTGAACTGCTCATTTCAGTTTATCTAGATGCAATATGATTTATGAACTTTTCTTTTTTTTGAAGATATTTATTCAGTAGTCTTTAAGTTTATAAAGAATGAAATATATTTGAATATGAACGTGTGATGATATCTTATATGTATATACACCATCGAATGCTAGGTAACCACATGTACAAAGAAAAAAAAAGCGACAGAGTGAGAAAGTTTATGTGAGTTCTCTCCATTTTTTTTTATTCCATTGGACACACATAGACATATGCATAATTATTGTGTGTTCGGTTGTTCAATCGTTTCTGTCAGTCCCATCAAGTTATTTAGACGACAGGTCACTGAGAATAAAAAAAAAGAAATGAAACGAGTCAAGTACATTATGACAGACTGACGAACTTAAGATAACTGTGTTGTCAAAGTGATTTGCCTTTTATATCGAGTCTATATAAAAGACGCATATATATCGTTATGTTCAAGTGGATACATAAAAAAAAGAAAAAAGAGAAAAAGTACGATGAACAAGTGTAGAATGAAGAATTATAAATATGTAAAGTACATTTTGGCTGCAATGACATTGTGTAATGAATGAACATCAGTATGATGAATATAAAATTACAATATGAAATATGAAGATATAACAATGAAATATAAGAAGAGACTTTTTTTTGTTTGTTTGCTTCTTGAATATAAATTTATGGTATTGCTAAAAATATTTATTTGTTTGTCAAAAAAAAGTCAAGTTTTTATTAAAAATATCAATATTTTATGATAAATTATTTGAAATAAATAATATGTTGTTAATTAAGTAAATTACATATCAATATGTTTATGATTTTACTTTTACATTTCAATATTTAGATTTCCTATATGGAATCATAAATATTTGCTGACATAGTATAATTATCTATGTTTAATGTATATGCCATATCTATCTTGTTTCCGATGGCAAATAATAAGTTCAATAGTAGTCTTGCTATTTTTTTTCTTTTCTATTTAATATTTAAAGTGTGTGTGCATGAAAGCTCAGCTCGCTTTGACATAGCACAATCAATAAGATGAATTCTCATTGTTACAAATACGTTCTTATACTGCTATGTTTTTCTCTGCCTTTTTTTTTTAAGCAGACAGATACGAATATGGTCTTAGAATAAAGAAAAGAATTGCAAATCTCATTTCTTTCTTTCTCTCGCTCTCTCGCTGATTCGTTATAGTTTTCTAATAATATTTATTAAAAAAATTCTTTTTCCTTTCGTCTATCATTGATCGAATGTAGAGGATTGAGCGTTAATGGAAACAATAATGATGATTGTGATTCTTGCTGAGTAGTAGCAAGTAAGTTTCATTGAATGCCTTTGTAGATTGCTAGTCTTTTCTTTACAATGTCTCTTTTTGTGTATTCATAAAAAGAATCATAATTACATGTGTTTCTCTTGTGTATATAAAGACAAGCGAGAAAAAAAAATAAAAAAAATGAAAGTTCTTTTTTTTTTTTTCTCACATTTTTCTATCACTAAGATGCTTGCTCTAAATACTCTCATGATGATAATGATGACAGAAAGCAAAGTGATTATAATATAAGCATAGTGTTCTTTTTGCAATGTTATTTCAATACTATTTAAATAAAAAAGAAAAGGTTTTTCTATACATTTCGTTTATTTTATTCCGTATATTTTCCATTTATAAATCTTCTATAAATGTATGCTAATTCACTGTCATGTACCCGATATTTTCTCGTGCATATGAAGCATGGCAGGTAAATGTTACGTTTCTACGAATGAGAGCAGTAACTAGCATGATGCAGTAGATGATTTATTTGTTTGTTGCTTAAGGGAAAGTGTCATTTCTATGTATGCGTCAAGGGAAAATATGAATATTGAAATCGTCATTCGTTTCCATCTAGATGACGGATGATGATGATGATGATGATAGTTTCTTAGTCTCTTTCTCATTTTCCATCTTTCTTTTGCTTCTTTCTTTTTTACTTAGAGCCACAATAACTATAAGCACACCCACACATCATTACCGGAGAGAGGTATAGCAAAAAAAAAGAGATCATTAACGGACATACGCACACAGACACCATTCTGTCTACGGGCATAAAATTACACGAATTATCAACTAATATTCAATGAATAAAGAATAAAAATTATATCTTCACTTATGCTGATCTTTGTGTTTATCTTTCAAGACAATCAATAATAAACGCAATGCTATCATGCTCACATCACGTTATGATCTATATATTGGTATTGGTATTGGAGCTATAACTGTTATTGTTCTAATTATTGTTGCAACAATTATTTTTTGTCAATGTTGTATACCATCATCAAGTCATCAATATTTCGGTCGATCTGTAAGACATTATGCAGCTATTAATAATATTGATGCTAAAACTTATTTCAAGCCACCACAACATCTCGTGAGTAACTTCGTTTTTTTCTCTCTCCCTCTCTCTCTCTCCGATTATCTATTTGTTTATCAAATCATGACGTAGTACGTTTCCGGTACTGATTGTATCATCACAGGCAAGTGAACACACTAATGCAATTTGACAAGAATAAAAAGAAAAAAAAAGGTTCTAATTTCCTCTTACTTGTAAGGTAGTTTTCTTTTTCTTCTAAAATGATATCTGATATGACTCATTAGTTTGACGAATCATTTTTTCAATTAGTCTAATTTTATTTTCTAGAGTTATGCACCAATAGTTCATCGTATTCCACAACCGCCTGTTATCACACAAGAAACATCATCCCAATCTGCTCGTACTTCACTTGCTTCCGGTGGTCGTTTGTCAATTTTATCTGAAAAATTATCTCGTCTATCGATTAGCTCAAATCAATCAGGTCGACCATCTGTTGCATCTGATAGTGTACTTCTACATAAAAAAGGTGAAACGGGTCGTTTATCTCATTCATATGAAGATACAGATACACAAGATATAACAGCACATTATACAAGTCGATCTTGTTCGAAAGCAACACGTCTATCAACAACAGCTGATGGTGACAATCAATTAACATTATCACCAAGTACGAGTAATTCTAAAAATATACGATTTCAATTATTTCCTCGTACATCAGATGCTGTTGAACAATCAATTACATCTATTGATCAAACATCAGGAATTATTGAAGAACAATTATTAGGATCATCAAAACGACTATCTACTAAAGTAGATTCAAATCAAAGTATAAATACAGGACGTCGTCAATCATTACTTCGATCACCATCATCACGTTATGCAATTCCGAAATTTCCGGTTGTCGGAAAACAATCAATCAATACAACACGCGCTTCCATGCAACCATTAGGACAAGGACTTCTTTCACCACCAATCTCACCGCAATTTTCTTCTCATCTTACGAAGAAAAAAACACTACGTGGTGCATTGGGTGCTATTATGCCTGATCTCTATTTCACAGGCACCGCATGTGCTACTAATAGTGACGGTAATGGTAGCAATGGGAAAAATCTCACTAATAATAGTGGTGTCAGTGAACGAATCAATGATGAATTATCAATTGTCCAAGAAAATTTATATAAATTACATATTCGTATACTCTATGATGAACATCGAAATGATTTTGTTGTTAATATAATTGAAGGTAAATAAAGCAAAACTTGTTATTAACTTTTTTTTTTTTTTGTTATTTTATGTTTTTCTCTAGCTCAATGTTTACCAATGGAACGTGAAGAATTATCTAATCCATATGTTAAAATTTATCTTCGTCCACCAATAGATCAAAAATTACGACAAACATCAGTACAACCACAAACATTAAATCCAATATGGAATGAATGTTTTAAATTTAGTTTTACAAATGAAACTATATTTAAAACAACAAAAACATTACATTTTTATCTATATAATTATGCACATTCAAGTCGACCAGAATGTATTGGTGAAGCACAATTACGTTTAACATCACAAATATTGCATACCGGTGGTGATCTTTGGTGTACAATTAATAAACAACGAGCCGTAAGATATATAGAAAAATGAACAAAACAAAAAAACATGAATTTCACAAATTATATTTTATTCTAGGAAGATGAATATCTTGGTGAATTACTTGTTTCATTAACATATTTACCACAAGCGGAACGACTTAATGTTGGTATTATTGAAGCACGAAATCTTAAAGCACTTTCAATGCATCTTGAAGCTGGTTTGTTGAATTTTTATTCATAAAAAAAATATTTATTTTTTGTTTTTTTAGATCCAGTTGTTCGTTTAACATTACAATTAGGTCAAACAGATAAAATAAAACGTAAAAAAACATCGGTTAAACGTAATACATTAAATCCGAAATGGAATGAAGAACTATCATTTAATATATCAGGTGTTTCATTAGCTGAATCATCTCTTGAAATAGGTGTTTATCATCATGATCTTATTGCACCTGATGAACCATTAGGTTTTTTACGTTTTGAAAATGTAACACCAATTAGTAGTGCTAATATAGCTCAACATAGTGAAATAATTCATTGGTGTGAAGTTATTAATGGTGAACAACGAGCTGCTTGTTGGCATTTATTAAGAAAAGCTGCAAAAATTATTCCTACTACAATAACAACATCATCATCTAATAATAATAATAATAATAAAACTTTGCAACAACAACAATCAAGAAATTCGACAAGTGTTATCAAATAACTTTGCTTTTTAAAATATATATGAAAAAAAAATATTCTTTTATTTTTGTTTTTGATCGCTATATGTCTTATTAGAATAAATTATTTAAGAATTGTATGCTAGTCTATTGAAATTCTTGAACAATAGAAAGTCCAAAAAGAACAAATATAATTAAGTAACAAGTTAAAAATATATATATATATATTTATGCGTAATGTTAGTTCTTTGAGATACTCTTTCTAGGACAATCTTTTCTTAGACATTCTTTACCAAATAAATCACGTTCTATATTTCGAAAAGAACTTATTTTAATGATCTACCTTAACAAAGCTTTGTCTTGTGTATAAAAGTCAATTATATATTCTTAATTGTATGTTGATTACTTCGTAAGCATATAAAATAATTATTATTCATTTTATTATTTTAAGAAATAATTTTTAGATGAACAGTGATATTGAACTATACAATTCAGTTTTTTTAATATTTATTATATTGAGAAAATTAACATTCATTATTGAACAAGTTATATAGAACAATTGACAATGAAATAACTCAAAAATGTGATACAGCTAGATTAAAATGTAAAACATAATGTAGTTACTGTTGCTAATCACAACAATATCGTTTTCTTCTATCTATTTTAAGATACATTTCTTACCATTCTTCTACTTAATCCTTGAGAACTACAATACGGAAGCAATTCATATATTATGACAAGATGTTATTGATCTGCTGTCTGTGATCATTAATTAACAATGCCTGTCACGTCTGCGAAGGGAGAAAAATCCAAATTTCTATTACAATACTCTAATAGTCCTTTTAGAACATGTTTCAAGCTAAATCATCCATACTGTTTTATTTACTCGATCGAATTATGTTTCATTATTTTTAAAAGAGCACAATTAAAACTATGTTACTTAAGTTAAACTTATAGCATCTATGTTTTGGTTGGTATGAGAAGACTGAGTGAGAAAATTCAAGTCTTAGAGTTTTGCAACCATTTGATAGGTAAATTACTGTTTTTTTCTTCACGCCATATATAGAAATATCATTTATTCAAAATGACCGTGGATATCTCTAAACGATTTATTTTAGTTAAAAAAATTTACTCACAATTATTAATTTAGACACTGATATTGAAGATACAGCTAACTCATCATATAATTTTAACGAAATTTTGATAAAAAAACAGAAAATTTGCTAAGGATTAACAAAATTCTATATAATTTGACAGAATAGACACGCAGTTTTGTTTTTTCTCAACATTGAGAAATGAGAACATAATTACTTTAAATCATGCCTTGAACTATGGATCTGGAGAATAGATTAAAATGAAAATTATCTCAAATCGGAACACCATTTTCATTCATACTTTTTAAAATGTCTTAATCTTGGTTTTTCAGAAAATTATAAATATCATGTTTCCTGCAAGATTCGATGGTCCCAAGTCTCCTCTGTTCAACGGTGAGACAGCAGCTCTGTTTTTTGTCTACATCAAAAGGTATTCGCAATCACAAACTATTCGACAACGACGCACGAATTTCATGTCTTAATTTCCTTCTATGTATAAGGATGCACACAGGTAGATTTTGTACATCTGATTACATCCATCCATCTTTAATTTTTAGCGGTGTGACATTACTTCTTATTATCTACATTAATTTTCTAGACAGCTATATGTAAATAACTGATGTTGTCAATATGTTTTTTTTTCTCTAGAGTTGCATGTTATTATATCTTTTTCAAAAATGATCATCAGTATAATTATAGGTTTTTAATAGTGTTATCTCAATAAGTATTTCATTTTTTTTTCATTAACTAGTTATGATTATATACATAAATAGCAATTATCATTTGTCTATCAACATTTAAAATGATGAATGTACTTCAAAGATTATATGCTTTCTTGGTATAGCTTCTTTTTGTAAATATGTAAAAATGAACGGCAATGTTTATTTCGTTTTATTCAAAGATTTGACAATCATACATAGCATTTTGTTTTTCTTTATGGAGTTTTATCTTATCGCCAAAAGTTAGCACGTTTACGCCAAAAATTAGCTCGTTTCCAAAAATTTGCTCGACGATTCATCTCTGGAGGTTTAGGTTCTTTCATAAGATTGTATTCGCTATGTAATAAGTAAACTTCAGGTATAGAGTCATCATTTTTAGTATCAAGACCATTTGATTCCGCTGAATCCGATAAAGTTCCAGTCTTCATTGAATTATCAACAGTATCATCATCCTTTTGTCGACTAGTCGATAAGGGTTGACTAGATGTGCAATGAACAAGTATGAAAACAATTGTAATGTAGACAATAATTGTTGCTATATGAAAAAAAAAACAAAATCTAATTATATGAATAGAAAAATGATGAACAAAAACTTACATAAACGATAAATCTCTTTCGTATTCATTGTTTGAAAACTATGTTATAAAAATGAGAAATATGCCGAGTAAACTAATAGAATGGTTCACTTTTTATTAGAATGTTTTATTGAAGTGATAGTGAGAAAAAACAGAAACATAGAAAGAAAAAAAAAAAAGGCAAACAGCAAATGTTTATAAGCCTCTTCTTCTTTTTTATATTTGCAATTTATTTATACAATATGGGTGATGAAAATAGCCTATAGAGGGCTCGAATGTTTGTTATTTACGTTGCTTACCTATGCCATCCCACTCAGCACTTAACTTCAACTTGAGTAGGGGCTCAACATAGATGCATGATACATTAGTTTTTGTCCTCATTTCATTCTCGGTTCAAGTGTTTTATAGGTTTTTACTTTCCATTTACCATAAAAAAGAAATACATTGCATTTCCGTTTCTTCTATTCAAACATTGCTATAAAATAAAAGACGAACAAAAATGACATATTCATTACAATACTCATTATATGTTTGATTAACATAGATTCAAGAATCATCAAATGTATTTGTTGCTTGTTTTTTAAGAATTTTAAGTTGTCTTTTCTAGAAATATTTTTCATAATTTTTTGAAATATTGTATTGAGCTAAAGAAAAAGCAATGTAGACCTTGGTTTTATTTGTATACATTTGATCGTACATATATGTATGTGTAAATAATGTCTGAATTCATGTCATAATAAATCATATTGTATTCTAGTTCTTGAATTAGACAAGGTTAATGAGTATTTTGAAATATTATCATATTTATAAATTTTTATTCACAACACATTTAGCAAATTGTGAAAATCAAACTGTTTTGATTTCTTATAAAAGAAAAAAAAAAACAGTGAATTTTTGAACTCAAATGTACATGAACTAATTTTAACTTGACAAACTCATCATGTTGAATGTAAACAAATTATCAAAACTTTTTTCTTGATTTATTTCGTAAAAGATTATGCATTAGTATCTATAGAAGAAAATCATAAATAGTTGAATTGTTTGTTGCCATAAAAAAAATCTAATCAACATTTACGATTGATTTTGTATTCGGTTGTTATGACCTAGAACAAATGCCTCGAACATGCTTACCAGTTAAGCAAAAGAGTCATCGGTTTTCGACCAGATATTACGATATAGGATCCTACACACTAAGAATAAATTTATTGATAAATTGAAAAAATCTAACAAAAAAAAACAAAATTTAGAATTCAAGATAAGAAAAAACTTTGAAAATGTGATCACTCATCATTAATCATTTATTGATAGATTGATAATCCTTTTATTTCTTTCACATTGATAATTTCCTGCTTTTAAATAATGCTTCATCGACAATGACTAATATTGATTGTCAGCATTTCAAATGCGTACTTCCGGCATTTATTTTTATATTATTCACAGAATAATAATATGTACCTGCTCATAATACCTTATTGAGATTTCGAAAAAATAAACTTTTATCGTGTTACTTAATAGAAATACATGCAAAGCTTTTCCTACATTCAATATGAAAGACAACTTGAAAATTGTTTTAAGACACATGATTTGCAAATCAGTATAATGTTTTTTTTTTTTACAAAATTAAAAATGCTAGATCAACATTGCAAATGCTTCAAAAATAAAAGAAAAAAGTTAGACATCGATGAATATTATAACATTTTGCACTTTCAAATCATTTTATTTTTCTTAACTGCCATCGAAGAGAATGCATTGAAAAAAGAAAATGTACAGTATGAATTTTTTTCTTTTGTTAATGCCAAAAAGTAAATAATAAGTTTGCTTCATTATTTGATCGCATATATATTTAAAAAAAAATTAAACGCATTAATTTTCTTTTGTTGAGTGTCTGTTTATACTTTTTTTTTGCATTCTTTTTGTTTTAGTCAATCGTCAACATTAATGTACGAAAGCAGTTACTTATAATATATAATACAGAATGCTAGTAAGTATTATATATGTTTAAATATTGAGCTAAATTTGTTTTTCTTAGTCAACTGAAAGAACACCAAGATTTCGAACTATATCAGTGAATAGAATTTCTCGGAATGATTTTTCATCAATGTCATTTAATGAAAAAGATCATGAAGAACATCGTGATCCTGAAAAAGAATGTTTTATGTGTCGTCAAGCAAATGTCTATATAAAACCAATTGGTATGCAACAAGAACGTCGTGTAGCACGACGTCATCCACCATTATTAACACGAGCACAAATAGAAGAATTAGGACAAAAAAAGAATTTAACAAAAAAAGAAGCACGAAAATTATTACAATGTTATTTTCCTGAAATAAAAAATGTTAAATATTTTCAATTACATAAATATCATTCATGTTGTTATGATCCAAAACATTTAAATTTATGTAAAAATCATATCACAGCATTACAACATGAACGTGAACAACATCCAAATCATCAATTTTATAAACACGAAACAGATGAAGATCATTATAAAGAATATGAAAGAGACGATGGATATCAAAATAGAGTTAGTTTTGTTAGGTAAGATAAATATTGATTTATCAAGAAAATATTAAAAACGAACAACTAAATAATTATTTATATATATAAGAATCAAAATCGAACCAACTAAAGGAATACCAACAAGATTTCTTGCTCCAGCAGCTTTACCCGAATCATTAGCTGATATGCTTATAAAACAAGTATGTTATTTGAAATAGAAAATTATATTTTTCTATGATAATTTGCTGATTCAAAATCTAGGTTAATCGTCTAGAAAATAAGAGGAAACCACCATCATTTGGTCCACCACCAGCAAATGTTCTTCAAATGCGAAATCTTCCCAAAATAGAACAGTCCAATGGTATGAAATAACATTTTAATAGATTAGCGTCTTAATATACTACAATACTTTTTTGATATTTTTTTGCTAATGGAGAAACCATACTAGGTCGTACATCGCGTTTGAGATGAAACTTCAATCATTACCTAGGGCCAGTCGAGACTAGAAGGATTCTTCCCTATGTGCTGCCTTTTTGGAGTTATGGCTATTTCACTGGATTTTTTACCTTGAGCTTTGTATTTGAAAATCACCTCATGTGGTTCCGTCGTGAGAAAATTGTATTGTTCTCATTCAATAGACATTTGTTGAGTTTCTAAGAAACTTAAAACTTTATGAATTTTATTCTTTCTACGTTGATGAAATACTTCTATTGATTCATAGATTATGGTATTAGTACTTTATCAGAACATTGGACAAATCTTGGTACTGATGATGACGATGATGATAATGATGACCATTATAGTGATAATGATAGTAACGAAGACACTAAGCATCCTAATACTACAGATAGTGGTATTCGTGGTTATCATGGTAACTTTATGGGACGATCACGGATAAGTTATGAAAAGAAAATTCAAGCTAAACAAGAAAAAGAAAAAGACAAATTATTAAAAATTAGTACAAATGAGGATTTAGTTGTTGAAGATTTAGAAGATTTAAATAGTCTATTTGTCAATGAAAAAGAATCAACAATAATTGAACAAACTAAACAGCCAACTAAAAAGAAAAAACGTAAGAAGAGAAGAAAAGTTCGTACTAATCATACACACGATAAACCAAAATTAAATCATTGGGAAATCATGGCATTAGATCAATCAAAAAAAGAAACATGTGGATGTCGTCATCATGTTAGACGACTTGAAGCTAATCAAGTTATTTATGATTGGTGTCGATGTAAAGATCATCAACATAAAGAATTAAAAGAAAAACAAAAGTCTACACCAATTCCTGAACAACCAAAACAAATTACTCCATCTCCAAAAGTACCGAAAGTAGAAACAAAAAACATTGGTATTAATGCAACAGAACCTACAACAACTGAACTTGCTTTAGCTTATGATCCATCAACAGTTGATTATGATGTAATTCAAGAAGCAGTCTATTTTCGAACATCATCTGGAAGATTGGTAACATATTTTTTTGTATGATAAAAAGAAATATTTCATTACAATTTATTTAAGGTTAAACCGGAAATAACGAATTCATTTACTTATGATAATATAACATCATCGACAGATCTTAATCATCATAAAACATTACCAAATAAACCTCAAGTTTTGTATATGACAGTTCAAGGTCAACTTCAACCACTTGAAAATGATAGAAACCGTCAACAGAAAAGTATTTCTAATGTTTATTTACATCAAAGTGCTTCTTGACGGTTGAGTTTGCCTTATATACTTTTGTGAAAAATCAAATTTTTCAAATACTCTTTTCGTTAGTAATATTATCTGAATTCATATTGGCAACGAGAGAAGTAGCTGAAAAACTTGATTTTTCACTAAAGTCTGCAACGAATTCCCTTGTGATAAAAAGTTTAGAAATGCATCACTATCAGTAATACTAGTACCAGTAGATGTCTAGTTTTTGTTTTTTTTTATATTATATTTTCTTTATTCTTTCGATTTATTTTCAGGTCGTTTATCACCTATAGGTTCAATTACTGCATCAAATCAAGAATCTGTATTTAATAGTCAATCATTCATCAATGCTCGAGTTCCATCAGCAAATAATAGAACTAATGAAGTGATTCGCGTAACAAAAAAAAACACTCCACCTATAACAATAACAGGAGGACTTTATGGAGACAATGATGATGATGAAGAGGAATCAACGGAACGTTTTTCATGTAAATCTATACCAGAAAGACCAATGAATACTCCAGTAC